GGGTATGAAAAATCGATTACCACATATCTAATTTTCATTTTTTCCACTTTTAAATTTACTGTACAAAATAGTGATATAAGTGTCCGACGATTTAATGTCCGCAAATTATTAAAAAATCAATAAATCAATAAACGTGATGAAATTTAATTTTTTCACTCCAAAAATTTCATATTTATAAATGGTTATTAATTATTATTATGTAAATTATTATTTGTTTCAAATAAATAATTATAATATTGCTTATTTTATGCTTAAAAATTTAAAAGTTATAAACAAATGAAGTTATTTTTGAGGCGATTAATACGATCTTAGTGCATAATGCATTATTTCTAAATAAATTAATATTATACTTGATATAAAAATCCTTTTTTCTCTTTCAAGTTTTCATTCGCGTTTGTTATTTTTCTTTACAAAAATTTTCCTATTTTTCTAAAAGAAAATCCCAAAACTTTTGTGCATAATTTTTTTACACCATACATACTTTTTTGAAATCGTTTAATTCTTTTCTCGATATTTATTTGGCTAAATTGAGCATATAGAGATTTACAATTACAAGAATAAAACGAAAAATATATACAGGGTGTTTCAGAAAGACCTCCCGTAAATAAAGGGGGTGATAGTATGACAAAAAATGAGAATTTTTTGTCTTATGAACTCTATGTCTATCTCCTCTTGTTTTCGAGATACAGAGAGACAAAATAAAATTTTTTAAATAACATTTTTATGAAAATTTCCAAATGGTGCGAAATATTTTTATGAAATTTGGTAGTCCGAGGTTTTTAAGGGTGCCAAATACGCTAGTCTAATTATTTTTTGTATATTTCATAGAAAGCGCTAGTTATGCTACATTCTTATTACAATTTAAGTTATATTTTTTTTAAGGTTAGGTTTTTTACCAGTCGGGCTCCAATTTCTATTGTACAATTTTATTTTCTAAAAATAATGTACTCTTGTTAGAACTTCCTAATGTGGACGATTTTCGAGAAAAAAGGCTTTTAATTAAACTCTTACAATATTACACTATAAAATAAGTGACTTTTCTCAAAGTAAGCTTGAGCTTTGAGAAGAGGAGATAGACATATAGTTCATATGACAAAAAATTCTTATTTTTTGTCGTCCTCACCCCCTGTATTTACGGGAGGTCTTTCTGAAACACCCTGTATTGTATATTTATATGGAATTTTGCTTAATACATGAAAATACCTTATTAGAAATTATAAATACATGTGCACATTTTTTACGAAATTTTTTTCATCTTTTTTTGTCGGACTGACGATTTGCGGATATATTTTTGTCGGACATTACAATTTTTGCTTATAAAAAACACTTTTCTATCGTGTGTTATTTTTGTCCGACATGTGGTAATCGATTTTTCATACCCTGTGAAAATTCCGATTTCCAGCTGTCGGACTGAAAAAACGCGGCTTGAAATTTGTCGGACAACAATACTTTTTGACTGAATTAATTATTTACAATTAATTTTACTAAAAATTACCTATGTGGTAATTGATTTTCAATACCCTGTTATTTTGGCATGTTTCGACCGGTAGACACGTCAATGTCGGAGGAATTTCTGTCGGACAAATTTAAATCGGCATTCGCAACAAAATTTACAGTTACTTAAGCTAAAAATAAAAGATGTGGTCTTGAGTTTTCAAGACCCCGTGAAATTGCCATGTTTTAAGACTTTTCCGAGTGGAAAAGCGGAGGAATCGAAAAAAGTCGTAGAGGAAAAATGTGGTAGACTGGTCAAAAGGATGCGCCTCAGGAGTTATAAAGTATGTGGTAATCAACTTTCCAGGGGGGGGCCTGTACTGTGGACTATATTGTTAATTATTTTAAAAACTATACAGTTTGTAGTATGGCTACAGAAGCTCAAGCTCAATTTGTTCAAGGGCAATCTGATAATTTGCCAAAAATTGATGTTCTATCACTGTTTGCATGATCATCACAGATGTGTAAAGTAGATTTAACATTAACTGGACTTTTCTTATAGCTAAAGGTCTCTTTTTATAGCTAAATACCATTTCTTCCTCATTTTCTCATCCTTTGGTACATTAAATTATAATTTGTTGGGAGGCAGTTATTATTGTTTAACTACACATGGGTACTATACAGCACTGTTATGTCTTTCATATTCTCGTGTTGTAGTTCTGATCCTGAAACCATCACGTACTAAAGTTGCCTGGGTAAATATTGTGAAAATGTTCGTAGACTCTAAAAAAATTAACGAAAGTTGTCTAAATTTATACATTAAAACTAATTACTCAAAACTACTCAGAATTCGATGCAAACACAAAATAAATCAACACAAGATTAAATGACAGCAGTGACAGCGCCAGTGTCTCGCGTCTTAACAGTCTTAACACATATACCTGACCCTGACGTCACAAATTGCTTGACTAATTAGAGACCGCTTTATATAATAAGGTGGGCAACATTATATTCAATATTTCAATAATTAATTACATTTTAGTAGTTCAGTTTAAAGGAGTTTTACATATTGAAACATACTTTTATAGTAATTTTCTGCACTTTAAATAAATTTTGCATCAAAAGAAAATTTGATGCAAGTTCCTCATTTGCACATATATAAAGGGCAGTTCATTAGCAAGTACAATTATATTTTTTTATGATGGTATACAGGATGTCCCAAATTTAACTTTCTCTACTAATTTTGCTCAAACTTTTTTATATGTGTGTGGATTTTCCCACTTCCACAAAAAAATAAAATGTAGATGATTTTAAAGTAAAAAACTAAAAAAGTTCTCTCTTTTGTATCATTTTGATATATTGCACTATTTAAAGGCAACAGAAATGTCTGTCCTAAATTGTAAACCATTTCGATAAATGGTAAGACATAGTAGTTTTGATTTTTTACAAATTTTGTGTAATGTTTTATTTCTTGCATAGTTATTAATCCTCTGGGAAATTGGTCACAAATAAAGTAATTTGTTTTTAAAAACTATTTTTTTTTCCTTTTTTACAAGTTTTATTACGATCGTTTCGGGTTTTGTCCCATCTTCAGATCTTCATATATTTAAGATGTAACGTTTTATTGAACTTAGAAATAAAAAAATTGTATAAAATAAGATAGTTGCAGTATAGCATAAATAAAAAAAAAAATAAAAATCAGTAATATTTCAAAAACTTAGGCCTGTATTCTTAGTCGTTCCTTGAGGAACAAGGATCCCTTATTCTGTATTCCGCCTATCATAAGGAATGACTATGAATACGGGTATTAGTTATTTTCAAAATAAACTTAAGGGCAACCAATTACATAAGACCATAAGACCTCATTTGATCAATATAGTAAATAAATTAATTGTTTTTCATTCTTCAATTTGAGAAATGAAAATTGTTTAGTCTATCTACATATTTCCCTAGGAACTCGTTATTTATAAATTCTTAGAAATATGGAGCTCAAATTATTATCTTTAAGAATCAATTTTGTTAAATAAAGTAATTTTTAATTCTTTTTAAAGCATATTGCGGGTGGTGTGTGTACAAAAATTAATTTCCGCATATCTTCAGTGTGATACAATTTAAACAAACTTTACTTCTTAAATGGTGCAAAATGTCTAATTTTTGGATTAAGGAGTTGAAAGATCCCCATATAAAAAAGTAAAATTTATCCACAAACCTGTACAGGGTGATTCACAACTTATCCAAATAAATGTGGGAATAGATGCAGCATGAGAAATGGAATCAATATCGTAAAAAAATTTTTTGTAAAATCCTTATAGTTTTCGAGAAAAAAAATATTTAAGTTATAGTACATTCAACCACTACATAGCTGGACAACTGTAGTCTCTAGCATCATTCGCCACGTGGCCTCAGCGACTCCGAATACTGCAATCGGATTTTGCAATCGTCGTTGCGATAGTATTTACCTGTTATCTGTGGTGTTTACAATAGGTTTTTAGTAGTTAGTGTCAAAATTGGTTTGCGTGTATAGCAACTCGGAGTTGATGGATATCGTTTTAGTTTATGGTCAAAGCATTTGTGTTATGGTGAAGCAAGACAACATTTGTGTTAGTTCGTAGAAACTGAGTACAACGGACCCAAATGTGTTTACACGTTGGTGGATAAAATTTTGAACAATTGTAACATCGGGTATGTCAAATGATTTTATTATTTAAAAACACAAATTAATTTTATTAATTAATAAAGGCAAAAGCAGTTGAATTTGCCGATATAAAATAGGTGCGATAAAATTCTATTTACATATATCTTTCCTTGCGAAAGTTTTTGTCCGTTTTTATCACACCGCCATGCCGGTCGCATTGTGCGAGTTCAGGTTTAACAGTAGACCAGTTTCCAGTGCCGTGCAGAAGTGTATTTTTAAATCATTTTCGACCTGTCCTTTTTGATTTTTTCTTTACAAAATTGTATTTGTAAGGGTCCCCTGTACATCCAGAATTTTTTTTTGGATAAGTTCTGAATCACCCTGTATAACTTAAATTTAGAAATTATTTTTTAAACATTAAATTTACAACATAACAGTAGTACCCCGTTTTATATTTCATTGTTTTATCTCAAACTAATTCAGAGGTATCTAGAAATAACTTGCAGGGGCGCAATATTAAACTATTAGGAGACTTTTTTGACGATATATAAACTTTGTGTCTTATTTTTAGTCGTAGAATACACTGGAAAAATATCGTGGGACATATATTCGGATTGTATGGTATTTTTTTTATATTTCTGTATTAATTGTACATTCAGTTATGGCATTGTCAAATTCTTTAAATTGAAATATTTAACAGTGTAAGATACAAGTGTAAGCTAAGTTAACTGTTCCAGATATACAGGACATTCATAACTTTACACAGCATAAACATGCTCACTACATATTTCTCTCCAACTTTTATTTATCAAATATTTGTATTTTACCACACCTAATATGTCACCCTGTATATCTGGTAGTTCTGGCAGTTCACAACTATTGGTAACAAATTGTCGAGAGTAATGTATAATTTTAATTATTTTTTTCTCAGGTTAGACTTGTCGAGAGTCTCCAAGCTAAACTAATAGAGTATGATAAGAAACTTTCTAAGAAGGAAATCGAAGATCGCCGCAAAGAACGCCTGGCCTACGTAGGCATAAGCCTAAATAACGTCTTACCGTCCCGGGAGCAGACTCACAAAAAGAAAAGACATCTTTCCGTGGAAGAGTCTGGGTCTAGTTCTGCAGAAACAGAAGAGTCATCTGCTTCTGAATCGGAAAGTGACAGCGACGAGCCTATATATCAGTTGAGACAACGACGCCAGGCAAAGAGTTATAAATTCAATGAATACGACGATCTGATCAAGTCGGCAATTCAGGATGAAATTGAGGAAAAAGGCCTTGAAACAGGTACAGGATTTATTTGCTTTTAATAGTTCGTCTAAATTTTAGATCAACTGCATGCATTGTCAAATCTTATCTTTCTTGATTCGTATACATATCTTTCATAAATTTAACAGTGAAGACACAAACACTCTGCCATTAAACACTGAAGTTAATAAGCCTATAAAGTTACATGTACTCTATACGAGACATTTCACTAAATACTTTTAATTTTACCATAAAATTGAACTTAACTTACAGGCGTTTTTCATGAATTTTTTTGGGACAAACTGATTAGAATTTGATGAAACTGACATTATTTTATCAATATTTTGGACTACATTTACAAATTTTTGCATCACTTGTGCTGAAAATGCCGAAGATTTGGGCTGTTGTTCACGGAAGGTCGTCGTTCGAGTTAGTTGTTCACGAGAGATGTAAAGTTCGATTCTTGACGGTGAGGGAATAGAATGCTCCCTGAGGAACGTTCCCTCATTTCGCTCTATTACTGTTCTATCACAAAATTTATACTGTATTCTTGACATAAAGGGATCGAGCCACAAAAGTGAAGAACGGGGAACAATGTTGTCAAACGTACCGACCAATCAGAAAGCAGTAAACAGGTGGTAGAATAAAAACTATTGAGCTAGTCAAGAAATAAGTGCTACTTTGTTTAGTGTTGTTTTTTGTCAATTGTCTCTGTATATAGACAGTTTCTAGGGCTAGAGCTAGAGTTTATTTTATTTTCTATATTTTCTTCAACTGTGAAGTGCGGTCTAAAAAGGAAGGAAAATGGAAATTAATAAAAAACAAACTAAATGCTAATAAATCCGAGGGTAATAAAATGGATGTGGGGTTGGACAAGTTCTATAAGTTCCCGGCAAAGAGGCTTAGAAAGCCAAAACAATTGTATAAATTTTTGATCACATAGTATAAATGTATGTGTGTCCGAGGTAGAAGTTCTCGTCGAATATTTAGCAGTTTCTCGCCCTCATCAACATTGTTGTATTTCATCCCACAATACTAATTATTAGCATTGAATGAGAAATAGTACTATTTCTGATTCAACGATATTAGGCAGTTCATTTTATTCTAAGCATCTAAGCGAATGCACTAACACAGATGTTATTGATATAGGTACTGAACAACAATCCGTGTACAATTCTCTAAGTAAACACAAATTATACGAACGCTTCCTCGAAGTTCTCGAAAGATATCACCACAAAATAATAACTAGAGATATCACAGTTAAGATTCGTTGTTCCCCAAAAATATCAGTAGAAGCAACAGGGAACAATTCTTCTATCATTACTCAATAGAACACCATTCAAGAATACCAATTAATGAGTTTTAGTAGAGACATGCCCCCTTTCTCTCGTTCCTTCTACTCCCTGTAATTCAAGGATAAAATCCATGAATGTCGCAATTTTGATCTGAAAGCAAAATGATGCATTATTAACATGTTTTCTAAGAATATGAACCTCATTGCTAGTAAAAATTGTAAAAATTTAAGTTTTGATAAGTGTTTGAAAAAAATTTATTGATTTTCACCATTTTTTTTTTCACTTATTTTGAATAAAAAGACACCCTTAAAATTATGATATCCCAATTGTTGGTTCATGTTCTTTGTAATTTCATAAACATTCAATTTTTATAACGATCGGTTCATAACTTTTTCAGTTAGAGTTCCCGTGAGTCAACAAAATGTTGTTCGAGACAAATGTGTTTCAAAAGTTCCGAAAACTCAATTTTGAATTTATGTAATAAAAAATCCACTTTTTTTAACCTCGTAATGTGGCTTCCCTGCTTAATATCAAATACTGGAAAAATAAATAATATACACCAAATTGTAAATAAATGTCCCTTTGCAAATATCTTAGAAGTGATTTGCTAAATAGCGTCAGGCAATTCTAAAACAAGATGATATTTCAGCATTCCAGAGTCACGGAAAAGATATTGCCACTATAGTGAAAGCTGAGGAAGATGAAAGAAAAGAGAAGGAACAAGAGAAAAAAGAAGAGTCTGCCGAGCGTCCTCCCGATGAAAAACCACCAGTGATTCCGCCGGAGAAAAAGGAGTATTCAGATGATGACGACATTAAGCCTCCTGTAAAGAAAGCTAGAAAAAAAACTAGAAGGATAAACAATTTGGATGTAAGCAGTGAGGAAGATGACGAGAGGGATGAGGACTTTAAGGGTACTAGGTAAGTTACTTTAATCCGATTTGGATAAAATAATATCACCATTTTTTTTTTACATAATTTAGAACACAGTGCATCCAAGATGCAATATCTATTAAAGTGGTGTCAAAAACGACGAAAGATACAATGCGAGTCAAATTAGAAAAAGTTGCGCTATTAAGGAACCATTGAAAGGACTGATCTTAGATACAGGGTGGGCCATTAGTGTGAGAAAGTTCAATAATTCCCTTGTTACTCATAATACAGAAAAAAAGTTTATATAAATATAAAGGTTGTACAGAATCAAGAAGCCTAAACTACAAAATTAATTTGATACATACAGGGCGATGAGTAAAAATGGGGCACACCAAATATTACATTTTTTAAATGGAACACCCTGTATAGTTTTAAACGTGGTTTTCACAGAAAATTCTATATATGGCAATATAAACAGTTTAACATTTTAGTGCAGGGTTGCCAAGTTATGTAGAAAATTCTTCGAATTTTGGAAAAAACATGACTTCGAAGAAGTTGTATTAACTTTCAGCTACTAACACTTGGAGCAAAAATATTTGACAAAATTATATGCAAATGTTAGACAAAGGTTCCTATATTAGCTAATGTTAATATTTTATACAGGGCATTTTTTATAATACATCATTTTTTAAAAGTTCAAACTTGATTTTCTAAAATTTATTATTTTATTTTATTCACATATCAGTTCAAATTAGTAATATAGGAGCCTTTGTCTAACATTTACATTAATACAACTTCTTCCAGGTCATGTTTTTTCAAAATTTGAAGAATTTTCTACATAACGACAACCCCGCACTAAAATGTTAAACTGTTTTGAGGGTTGCTTTCGGTGTGCAGCAAAATAAAACTCTCTCTCTCAATGATACAAAAAAAAAAGTATTTTTATTGAAAACAGAGTTTGTGTTCTCAGGACGAGTGTTTGTTGGAGAGTCGTCGTGGTGTGGAGTCCCTCACAGGTATAAGTATCTAGTTCTTGGCGCCAATCTGCCGTGGTCCTCTTTGTTTCTTGTCGCTTGCAACGGTTAGGCCGTCCAACGTCGGGCTGGTGCTCTTGATGTAATACTTAAAATAGGTCACTTGCGAACATGTGCACAATTTATATTGCCATATACAGGGCTGGAAAATCCACATGGTCCATCTGCTCTTACATGAGATCGACAAAGTAAACTAAAGAAATCCTTGTGATAGACAAGGATGGCTATAGTGAAGACGTTTCATAATCTGAATAGTCACCGCCCATTTCGGGTTAGAAGCGGGATTGACTATTCAGATTATGAAACGTCTTCAATCTAACCATCCTTGTCTATCGCACAGATTTCTATGACTTACTTTATCGCTCTCACGTAACGGCCGATGTACCATGGAGACTTTCCAAACCTGTATAGAATTTTTTCAGAAATCTGTATGTTTAAAAAATGTAATATTTGATGTATCCCGTTTTTACTCATCGCCCTGTATGTTTCAAATTAATTTTGCAATTCGGGTTTCTTGATTCTGTACAACTTTCATATAAACTTTTTTTCTGTTAATAAATGTTTGTATTGGATAAACTAAAATCCATTAAGTGAAGTCCTTCAGCCAGCGCTATAATGTTCGTTTCCATAAATCTGGTCTTTTGTAGCGGATTCTCTCTCTCTCAAACGCCTCGTAATACCCAGATAATATTTATTGACTGTTTCTCCATCCTGAAGGGATTCTATGTGGACAACATCAGGATAGTCAGACAACAGTCAAACTGATTTCAATTTCTGATTGACTTTGACATGTTTTTTATTTCGTCTTATTAGAAAAGCGCCATTCTGAAGCTTGCTGGCTTATTTGCATGTCAGACTTGTAAACCCATGTTTCGTCACCTGTTATGATGTGTTGCATAAATGCATGAGCATTTATGCTTGAATGATCAAGCATGTCTTCAGCGATGCTCTTTTTGAACTAGCCGTGCTGCGACGTGTTTCATACCCATCAACTAAAATGGTGCGAACTGATTCGTGAAACATGTTTAGATTATATGCAGCTCTCTCAAACTACAGTGGCGATTTGCGAACACCATTTCCTTCGCTTTATCGATGTTTTCTTCAGTTGAAGACGTTAAAGAACGACCAGAACTAGGCAAATCATCCACCACTTCTTGACCATGTTTGAATACTTTGTACCATTCGTATGCTTGAGTTTTCAATGAAACTGAATTACAGTACGTCTTTCTTGACATTTTCAAAGATTCAGTACAGGAAATTCCGTTGGTAGCACAAAATTTAGGCAAATTCTTTGTTCAATAACATTATCCATAGTATAAATCACGGAACACACTTTAGGGCACTAACAAAATTAAGAGCTGTAAACAAACTACTTGATAGATCATGTCCCAACTCCGCGTTAGAGTAGATCAAAAAAGACATTTAAATCTACTTTACACTTAATGTTTAAATGGCAAATTCCGGATACTTTTTTGAGAGAATGTAAAAATGTCAAACATTTTTTTCTTATGTTTGGCCTATTGACTTGGTAAAAAAAAATAAATTTTGTGTTGTCAAAAAAATAATCCTCAATAAATATTTTTGTAAAAATATTTTGTTGTCATAATTTTAAAAATACTTATATTAAAAGGCAGTGTTCAAAAACATAAGAATATATCGAGGGCATCATATCTGAAGGGTGTAAGAGTCACTATAGTCCGTTTTGGGTTATGACGTCACTTAATCAATTCGCTTAATATATTAGAAGGGTATATATATTCATAAACATCAACACTCTATTCTAACGCATTTTACTTCGGCGTATGAGCCAATTCTGCAAAACTATAATATCAGAAAGGCGTATGCTCATATGCCCTTCTAATACTCCTGTATTTATTTTATGCCTGCTAGACAGTATTGGCTTATACACCCTCAGTTGATTTGGTAAATTTCACACAACCTTACATTTGGTTAAACTTGTGAATGTTTGTTGTTGAAAATTGTATTGTTTGTGGTGTTTTGTAAAAGAAGAAAATGCATTAGGCGGTCGCGGTCCCATCGCATTGAGGACCGTGCTAGTCTCGATTGCGCGCGGTGGAGTTCCTTCCCATGTTTTATAATGTATGCATTCACACTAGACGTTCCCGAGCTCGTCTCGCTCACATCGCGTTCTTCGATCTTTTCCAAAGAATCTCGGGAGATCACGATGCGATTGAGACGAGCTTTCTCTTTTATAGAACTCATTTTCTTAACTACTAAAATAATACCGCAACTATTTAAAGGAGAGCGCGAGCAGGATTGTGGTGTGCAATTGCCAAATGCGACTGATTTTGTAAAAGATCGCGACCAGCTCAGCCCAGAACAATTGCGATGTGACGGGACCGCGACCACCTAGTGCGTTCTCTCCTAAATTCTGAAAAACTTCCTATAAATAAATTAAAGTATAACAATTTATTGTCTATGTGCCAATGCAAAGATGCAGTCATTCCTCGAGAACATAAATAATTTTATATTTTTTTAGCCAGTAATAAATAATAATATAAATCCCAAGCCAATAATAAAATAAATCCCAAAATTCTAACGATGAAAAATTTGATGACGAGATGTCTCTACAAGTACGAGAATGGCTTATAAAGAGGAAAAGGCACCGAAATAAAATGTAACAAATTTTAGTTCATATTAATACAAATACTGTATTAATAATGCATATTTTTGTATACTATATGCCTATTATTTAAATAAATTTAATACACGTTCTTCGAACATCCTAATATCAGAAGGGCGCATGAGCTGTAAATCAATTACATGTTGGCATTTTACTAGATGTTAAATCTCTCCAATGAACTACAATGTATTGGTCTTATTATATTAGCAAAATCATTAAACTCATTATAAATCTTGATTTATAAAATGTTTTTTTCATTCCCTGTAAAATATCAGATTTGGTTCGTACGCCCTTCTGATATGACGCCCTCGATATTTAAGATAACACAATTTTAGTGATCTTTTAATAACCTAACATTTTCTAATTTGACAACCCTGTATCCTTAACCATTTTTAATAGTGATTATATTTTATTGCTTGTATTTTGTATTTTAGAAATGTATTTTATTTTTTAAATTTTTGACGATAAATAAATTTTGTTGTAATATTTGAAGACCTAAATTCATATTCTGATTGTTTACATAGTTCGGAATCGGAAGAGGAAGAACTCGAAGAGGAGGACAGTGAGGAAAGTGATGACTATGTCAGAGGTGGAAAAAGGAGAAAAAACTTACGACCAGTGCGAAGATCAACTCGTGCAAGAGTATCAAGATTTGATGCCGATTTTAGTAAGTTAATAAAATTTATCACCGAAACTCCTTGACCATAATTTTTTATGTTACAGTTAATGATAGTGATGGTGAAGACATTCCTAGGAAAAAGAAGAAGAAGAAATATTGGAGCGAAACAGATTCAGAAGAATCCGACAGGTCATGGGGAAGGGGAAAGAAAGGAAGGTGCGTGTAAAAATTTGGTTTTATTTTTTATTATATATGTGTTAACGTAATTGTTTTAGATCGGGCTTAACATCCAGAAAGAAATCTAAGAAGAAGAAGAGCATCCTCGACGAATTATCGGATATAGAACCATTAAAGAAGAAGAAGCCAAAAATTAAATATGGCGGTTTAACTTCTAGTGATGAAGATTTAGGCAGAAGGCGAAGGACTAGGGGCAAGAAGACTACTTATGTGGATACGTTAGGATCGGATAGTGAAGAGGTAAATACAAAAACTTTGATCAGATTTCAAATACTCCTATTTTATTTGTAGGAAACTCACAGAAAGAAAAATCCTCGTCGAATAGTTAGCGATGATGACGATGAAGACTTTGTCGCTAACGAAGATGAAAAAGATAGTGAAGTTCAAGATGACGATTTGGAGGAAGATGAACAGGAAGAAGTGTCTGCGCGAAGGCCCTTGGTCGTTCCAAAAATATATATAAAGAAACCCCCAGTAACTAAAGAAGTGGATCGGCCAAAGCTGCTCGCAGAGCGGATTTTGAATGAAAATGTCAAGGAACCTGTAAATAAATCTATAGAGCAGGCACCGAAACCAAGTTTGGAAGAGTCCAAACCTACAGCGGTCGGCGAAAAATCAGATAAAAACGAAAAATTGGAACAACTTGGAAAAGTGCCAGAACAACCATTGAAGCATTGTGATCCAGTAGAAAATAAGTCTGGATCCAATGAAGAAAAACAAAAGGAAACTACTAATAAACCGCTTGACAAAAATAACGTAGAGAAGAAAGTTTTGGGAGCGGTATTAGAGGATGACGAGGATGGCAATCCCATCGAGAAAATAAACAAGAATTTGGAAGAAATGGATTCTGATGAAATGGAGAAAATGATGGAGGAGGAGGAATTCGCGACTAAGCAATTACAGCTGGTGGCTTTGCAGCTTGAAAAGGAAAAGAAGAGGAAGGCGGAGGAAGCCAAACGTCTTGAAAGCGAAACGAAAGCTGTCGTACCCGCGGTACCTGCGAAAAGGGGCAGGAAACCTAAACCGAAAGAAGTGCCGGAAATGCAAAAAAGTGTCGTTCACGAGCCTATAGTTAGCAATGTCAAGGCGTTAATTCGCAATGATAATGATAACGACGAACTATCCGAGCCTCCAGGTGTGGCATTGCCGTTATTTGAAGAATTAGCCTCGAGAAGAACGGAAGAAGAGGCACCAAAAAGGAGCAGAGGAAGAGGTAATAAATGTTTTTTACTTGAATCATACTTAAGATGTTCCGAATATTCGTATTCACATTCACAAGTGGATACTATTTCCACCAAATTTTAAATCGCATTTACAAATTTCATTGCTGTTTTTTAGCAAATATTAATAAGAAAACTAGTAAGGTAGGCACTTTCTCTCGGGCCTCGGTCTTCAACCCGAGCACCTCTGCTTTTTCTGTTAACATTTTTCAAAAAAAAAAAAAAAAAAGAAAAAATGCGACCCGCTTGCGATTCAAACCCCTGATCCGGAGCCTACACGAGCTATTTGAAACCTTGGGTCTCCGCGAATCTAATCAGAAAATTGAAAATGTTCAAATCAAGTTTTATCGCCAAACTAGTGTCTGAAAAATCGGAACCGGTGCCTAATGGCAAAATAACGACCCGCTGTGGCCCGATCGGCCGGGAAAACACTTCAAAAGACAAAATTTAATTTGATATCTTTACTAACATTTGTCTGCATCTCTGTCTAAACATCGGATGTACTTCGGGTATCTCTCTCGAAAATTGGATTTTCGGCGAGGATTCATTTTAAAGAGCAAATTTCTCTTGGAAGGAATTGCCTTCAGAATACTACGTTTGGATAAAGGAAGGACCGAAGGGCCCTTTGCCCTTCGGCTTGCCGCTTCGCGGCTCGGGAGGAAAGCCTTTGGTAATACTGTACACCTCCTATCGCGGGCGAGTGTGGGAGCGAGAGTAACCTACAGCTTTTAATATATAATGTTCAATGTTTAAAAACAAATTCTTTCACCAAAATTATTTTAACATGAGTGCCCACTGATAATTTTTAGTTCTTTGTTTATGAATCGGCAGTTTGGAAATAAAAACTAAAAATTTATTACTCAATAAAACTAAATTTGCATGGACCTTATCATTGTAAGTATCTAAAACTATATATCTAAAAAATTAGACTAAGGTAACAGTGTGCCTGACAAATGTTATTTCTGGCAATTTTGAATAACAAAAAATATTTAATAATTCTTTAAATTTTAAAATAATAGCATTTCCAACACGAAATGATTTTTTTTCTTTTTTTTTTTTCGTTTATGAACTTGTTCTACTTGCCGCTAACCCAAGTCGGGGATAATTTGTACACTCGCGAAAGAAATGTAAAGAAATTACATTTTCAGTTTTTGTTACTGTGTAGTCTTTGTAAAATATATGCACTAATTTTGAACAATTATATGTTAATACTTTTCCGACAATTGTATTGACGTTTTAACGGTAACTAGCTAATTCATTTCTTTATATCTGATCTGCTCTGCTCTTAATTCAGTGTTTATTATGCAGCATCAATATTATATCTATTTGTTGCATTTGTTTTTTATTTATTTTGTAAATATATTTTCACATATTTTTTTTGTTGTGACTGATGATATTGTGAAGTTGTGGCATGTACAGAGCCTTCTTATGAAGGAATCATTTATATGATTATAAGCCACGTGACAAGTAATTTTATTTGGAACAGTTTGGTACAACAACTTTATTTCCTTCACGTTGCCAATTAAATTTCGGTAAAATTCAAATATGATCAAGATTATATTAAAACACAACATTCTGTCTCTTTCATGAGATTTTATTGAACCAATCAGCAATCGCATTAACTCAAGCGTAATCGTAACGATTTATTATTGTTCATTGTAAATTAATCATTAATATTGGCGACTCCCAAGATTTATGGGTTTTTATTTGACAGTACCAGCCATGCAATGTTGGTTGCCTAAGCTCGGCGGTCACGTGGCTTGTAATCATTTATGAAGGCTCTGTACAGAGTGGAATCAGAGTTTCTCAGAAGCCACCAAAAAATAGGAAATAATCTAGTGACATGTTCTCTAGCTTGATTTCCATAACTACTTTAACTGCTGACTGTTTCTATCAAATATTAAGTATACACCTCATTTTTACATAAAACACCCTATTTATACAATTAATTGTGACTAAATCATTAAAAGGTCAAAATTTTTATATTTCTAAATTATAGCCTACTCTGATTTCCTTTAAAAAAAAACATAAATTTGCTTCACAACCCTGTAACTAAAAGGTCTCGTAAAAAAACTAGTATCACTAATCTGTTCTACACTGGAAAGTTCTATAGGGCAGTTAATTGTTGCGTATTCTAAGTGGAAAGACCAAAAAAATCTGCAGTCTCATAAGACTTCGTACTAAATCGTGAAAAATTATTTTATTAATATAAAAAAAACTAGCCATAATTTTTTTTGAGGATTTTCTTCATATTAATAAGCTTATATTAATTTTTTTATGAATATTTGTTTGTCCATTCCAAATCAGATAAACATCCTTAAGACTCGTACCAATTTTTTCTATTAGTGGTTTCTTAGTTACCGAATTTCAGTCATGAAAGGTTTCTCCTTTTCTCTCAATTCCCGAAAATATAGAAAAACAATAGTGTATATGTCTAGCTCGATTTCTGATAAAAGTTCAACATTAGAAAAAGCATCTCGATATCTTTATTTGAGAGATACAGGACATTTTTCAATTTTGTTCGCTTTATAACTTTTTTCTGTGAAAATAGATGTTTTTAAAAATGTTTTACACAGCATTTTATCTCCACCAATATACACAATATTTTTGTATAACTTCCGGTGAGTGAACATAAAAAATTTTTTAATGTCCATTTTTGTCCAAAATTATTTTTTTGTTACTCGTGTTTGGGAATGATTACGTATACCATGAATATATTTGATATATCGATGAAAAAAAGTAATAACTGCATTGAATTGTATGAAGAAATAATTTTTGGTTTACAAAATTATTTTTGTTTGTACCTTAAAAAAAATGTTAATGTAAATATCACGTATGATTTCAAAGGAAATTTTACTCAGATTTCAAAAATTGAAAATATATAGGATGTTCCACTTAAAAAAATTTAAGTTTGTGTAATGACTGAAAAACCAGAAGCTACAGAACACACTTGCGCCACTAGATTAAAAAAATTGTGTGACAATCCCCTTTACAAAAATCTTATATTACAAGCTTTTATTTACCTTGTCCTGTTAGTATGGTTCAAATCTTGCAACTGAATTTTAAAATTATTCCCAACTGATTGAGCTAAAATTTTGCATACATGTTTAGTTCGGATGACAATGCATGGTTAGCTAAGTGCCGTCATTCTAAAACCAATATGGTGACCTCCCAAAGACGGCGGACCAGTTATTTTTTATGCATCCCCATGATATGGGTTTCAAATGAAAGGGTTTGCTACAAAATACAAAAATAAAATGACATCGCTAAAAGCTTTTTTAAAAAATGTTTTTTTATACATGGACTTATTTTCACAAACAAAATAGTTATAGGTCATCATAAGAAATAACCAAAATTGAAAACACCCTGTTTCACTTAAGAAATCAAGATATCGAGATGTTGGTGTTGCTATTAAACTTTTTTGGAAAATCGAAAATTTCGTGGCATTTAATCCATTTTTTCTCACGTTTCGGGAAATAGGAAGAACCCTAGTGTTCAATTTGGCCTACTTTGTACACTATGTAATATTGACCTGATTCGTGACCTTAAAATGACTTAATAAATTTATATATCTACTTTATAATTTGCGTCATATCTTCAAATTCTCTAGGCTCTATCGATAAGTTATATTCAATTCTATTTTTAGCAAAAGGTAAAAAAACGCTTGAAGAAACGCTAGCGAACCTAGGAGGAAGGAAGAATCTTACAAATAAAATTTCGGAAAATATAAATATACCGCAGGGTGTAGGATGTAATATAGAGATAGCAGCTCCGCCACAACCATTTTCACAATCAGCACCAACACCATCGGTAATAACTAGGATGTTACAATCCAAGCCAGGCCAGACTACCACTTATCCTGTTGGAACAATAAGGCCAAAACAGTTTGCTACTATGCCCGACGATGACGATGATTCCCCTTCCAGCAGATCAAGAGGATCTTCTCCATCTTCAGGTTCTGGACTTATACCTCCCCCAGGACAGTTCATACCAGGTAAATTCTACAATTCATTCAGATTATCTATCAGCTATTTAAATATGTTGTAGGTGTGCAAATATTACTTGACTGGGAATTAGATTTTCTTCCAAATTTTCGAAATTTTAAAATGATCTCTGATCTTCCGTAAATTTAATTTTTGCTTCACTTTGCTATTTCACTTTACACATGGGGGCATAATACATGTACAAGCTGAAGGAACACGTTCCTTATCTGAATTTAATAAAATTTTCTTAAACAAATATTTGCCATTATATACGCAGGTAAAAAATATGCAATAGTTTTATTGTATTGCACAGATTTGATATTGTACATGTGGTGATTTTACATGCCTTTACATTACCGTTTAAGAATATGATGCATGTCAGTTAAGAGGTTAATCATTTCTGAAAAATATGTGAAAAAATATTTTTTTTGTAGATTATTTTCGTGGCGTTAATTTTGTGATAAAAAGCACACCTTTTCTTTTGAGCGTGCAACTATCGGAAATAAATTTACTATACAGAGTGGTGAAAAGTTTCCGTAATATTTGTGTATATTTCAACTGCCACATAATTCAATAAACCAGCACACTCGGAAAATAAAAAAACATTTACTTTCCAAAATTACCAACCATGGTCGCACATTCTTCTACCGTATTTTCATCCCAGGCATGCTCCAATGCCGTTCCACGGTTGCATATCTTCCTGAGGTTTTTTGCTCTATGATGGACCACATCAAATAGTTCATAGTTCATTAGGTTGAGATCCTGTGTGTTCGGCAGCCCAACGTTCTTGCCCCAAAAGCTCGGAAACAACTCTTAATGGATTGGGCAGAATGTGCCAGTGCAGTGTCCTGCGGCAGCGTGAATCTATCCGCATCAAAGTGCCGTGTCGTTTATGAATTCAGAGTGAGCTGAAGGCCACGTTTCTGGTACTGCAATGGTATTTTCTCATTGGCGGAGATACCGGCCCAGACCATTGCAGAGATCAGAAATTGGCACTGACCAATGGTTTTCACAGTTTCTGCTGACTGCCTTGACTGACTAGCTGATGACGATTTTGGGGGTTGTTGTGGAGTGGTTTAATCGTGAAAATCTTCTCATCGGTTAAGAGCTCTTTTTCAGGCGACCATCAGCGACCGGCCAATGCATTTTATGATGAGCTTGATGAATTGCACATTGTTCGCTTTGTCCGAAGTGGCTGTGGTTGATGTACCCCTGCTCCGAGGACAATCTCCAGTACCTCTAGTTTCCTTGAAACGTTTCAAAGCATTGTAGACTGTTCTACTCTCGAAACTGGTAGTTCAAACGATGTTGATCTTCATTCCTGTCTTGTGCAATTCAACAACAGTAACACATATTTTCGGTCCCTAGGGCAAAGGGCTCCGCACTTTTCTTATGGAATATTGCTTTCGGCTAATTTTCTTCAAATTTTGCAGGTTGATAGTTCTCAATATGTAGATCAAAAGTCTCAATGGGCACGAAGCTCTATAACCTCTCCTTCCCTCCAAAAATCCACCCCCAATGGGCTAGGGGGATATAACTGATTTCTGAATGTGAAAGAATTTTTATTCTTGTACCCCCAACCTTCAACCACCGACCATCTAACTCCTCCCTCTCACGTACCCCCACCCCCACCACCACCGACCATTAAACTTCTTCCCCCCAAATGCTGTCCTGAAGAAGATTGAGGATGGATTTAACTGTGCACGAGTATTAGCCAATCAACATATTTTTACTCTCAGCTTTGTTTTATGTTGTTTGGATTAATATTATTTACAAACATAAAAATGAAGGAAACTGATATTTTGCAATATAGAATTTTTTATTTTAGGTGGTCCAAGAGGCCCAATAGGTGCACCATTTAGGCCGATGCATCAACCAATGAATCATTATCCAAGGGGCGTTCTACCACCTCCACATTCTATAAGAGGGCCTGCCCCTCCATCAATGCATCCACACTTGTACCATTCGCATCGATCACTCGATCCGTCTCCCTCTGGAGGGGGTCCCATTAATATGTCCGAACCCAGTCCTCCCCAAGTACCTCCGCCTCCGACCAGTAGTCCGGGAAATAAAATGGAACCACACAATTATTCCAGAACACCCGTAAGTCGTTTTCCACCGATCAGTACCGCCCCTAATATTCCTATGACACCCCCTAGACCAATGCATATGTTAGCGCATATGCAGCAGTCGAGGCCGTCTAACTTGAGCCCCTATCCTCCTCCTCACACTCAGTCCCCAAATTATTACGGGGCATACCCTCCTGAATCCATGGCAAACGAAGAAGCCATGCCACCGACAGTATTTCAAAATTCTCCGTACCCTGAGCAGTTCCCGGGAGAAATCGGACCTGAACCGTCCGAGAATAGTAATAGTAAGTCCTATGGGGACGAGTCTGGGGGAGAATTTGGTGGCCTAGTCTCGTATTTTTCGAGCCAGAGGGAGGACGATTTAGAGTCATAGTTTAATAGAAGCAGCTCGGTGTATTGGACATTTTTCATAGTGACTGTACAGGGTTTATGTATCGATAATGAACGATATTTAGTGATGCTAAATTATTTAAAATACACTTTATCAATATAAGTGGTACTTATATTTATATTATTGTTGTTTAGCTAGATACGTATACAGTGGATTGTGTTTTATTATTTTCTATATACCTTTAAAATATTTATGATGTACAGAAAAGTAATTATAATTTTATATTTAACTAGAATTTTGTACATAGATGTATATATAACTTTTTTTAGAGTTAGACTCGTTTAAGGACATCATGGAGGGTTGAAGTGTTTAAAATTACCAAATATATCCTTCTAAAGTTAGATTGTTTGTGTAAAAAAGCTTGCGCATTTTTTACAGATCTAAACGTGACCTATCGAATAAGGCATAATTTATTTTCGTAGGGAATTCAAATTTAGCAGCTGTACAACTCGCACTGTGTTTTTCAATTATTAATTTGCCTACTAAACAGCTAATTTTTTACGATAAAGTTTGTGCAATTTTATTTTATAAATAAATTATGTTACATTTTATGAATGATTAATATATTCCCTCAATTTTATTTGTATTGACAAATTGTAAATTTTTAAGTATTTTTCTATATCCATTATTCTGTTTCGTGAAAATATGCATTTTAAATGTAATAAAAGAGATAATAATAACTGGACTCTCATTGAATGCATAGTTCAGGGCCCCGGCAAACCTAAAATCGAATTCAAGTTCCCTCTTGGGGTTTTTGAGATTTTCAATCTTTTTTTCCTAAAGGAAAACCTTTAAACTAAAACGTAACTATTTTGGTGTGATCAGCGCCATGAAATATACACAAAACTACCTTAAAAATATATTTGTGTCAATTGCAAAAATCAAAACTAGTATATTTATAAAAAATTTACATATTCAGAAAGGTACATCAAACACTATTTTTTGACTTAGTCGCATTCAACCTCAATGCTCTTGGGCCCATTGTTTCACAGCACTGTTGACCTCATTGTCAGTAGGGAACCTTTCTCCACCCATAAACACCTTCAAAGAAGAGAAAAGATGAATGTCAGAAGGTGCCAGGTCAGGGAAATAAATCAAATAGTTGCTTTGTGGTGTTGGCCGTGCAACAAACACATTCCTTTGTTAACATTCCCGCTTCCTTTGTTTTGTATTACTATCACCCTTCATAGTGTTTTCAGGATTTCACCGTGTAGCATTACTTGTTTCCCCCAGGGGCAAAAAGTCAATGAAGAGAATCCCTTTACAGTCCCAAAACACAGTTGTCATGATTTCGGGCCGAAACAATGATTTTGAATTTTTTCGCTGATGGTGAAGACGGATGTCTCCACTGCATTGATTGTCTTTTCGTTTCAGAGGTGTAGTGGGCTACCCACGTTTCATCGCCAGTATCAATACAGTCAAGGAATTGTTCACCTTCCAGTTTGAAGCGTTCGAGAAATTCTCGGGAAGATGTGATTCTGTTGACTTTTAATTGATCCGTGAGTTTTTTTTTGTACCCACCTCGCACACAATTTTCGATAACCATTGTTTCGGTAATAATTTCACGAATACTGCTTTCAGTTTGTCCAAAGTCAATTGACGGTTATAACAAAGCATTATTTCGATTCTTATTCACCCATATCAGTCACGATTGAGGAATGCCCACTCCTTGTTCAACATGAACAATCGTTCTGCCAGCTTTATACTTACGACGTCACTTGTACACAGTACAATTAGTCACATCTCCATAAACAGTTTTGATTTTTTTTTTGTCTGCAAGAAGAAACCAGATTACGCTTCTTATCTCGCAGCTGGAGGGATTCGCAATAGCAGCATCTGATTTCAACATGCTACTACAACAACAGTTTTCGGCTGACTGAGACATATGACTGTGCGTTCTGCTCTCAAAACCTTGACCTTGAACGCACTGTTACCAACTTTGTCAAAAATAATAACCGCAGAACATTAGTCTCACGTCTCACTACTCTTTGTGGACGTGCCTCATACATAGTCTGTATATTGGAAATCTGGGCTTCAGAAAAATTAGAAAAAATTCTCCTGAACTGTATCGACCCCGGCAAATCTAAAACTGAAGTCAGAATTCCCCCTCTAACTTTTAGAGTTTTTGACTTTATCCCTCAAAGAAGGCACTCAAACAAGTCAATCGATCGTCATAACAAAGCAATTCTACGATCTTATTCACCATATCAATCACCATTGAGGAATGCCCACTCCTTGTTCAACATGAACAATCGTTTTGCCAGCTTCATACTTACGACACCACTTGTACACATTAGTACAATTCATCACATCTCCATAAAGTTTTGTTTTTTTTTTGTCTTTGCAAGAAGAAACCAGATTACGCTCCTTATCGCAGCTGGAGGGATTTGGAATATGGGCATCTCATTTCAACATGCCAATACGACAGTTTTTGACTGACTGTGACATATGACTGTGCGTTCTGTTCTCAACACCTTGGCCTTGAACGCAGTGTTGCCAACATTGTCGAAAACAATAACCACAGGGCATCAGAGTCATACGTCTCACTACTCTTACTTTGTGGACGTTTCTCATACATAGTTCATATATTATTTTGGAAATCTGGGCTTCAGAAAAATTAGAAGAAATTCTGAATTATATCGACCCCGGCAAATCTAAAACTGAAGTCAGAGTTCCTCTCTAACTTTTAGCGCAATAAACATCATGGTAGGTTTAAATGAGCACTAATAGTTTTATTTTCATTTTTTTTTTTTTTTCAAGGAAAATACAGGAATTAACCACTCCGTCATAACCAGAAGTTGCAACTGCCACTCGAAGTGTTTTGAATTTAGGAATTTTTACATTGCAAGATGTCATTTCAGAAATTCAAAATCGACGTAATAATAATGATAAATAATTGCCCGTTGGAAATAGACATTCAAAGTTGCAATAATTCGCATACAGCTGAAAATAGGTACGAATGTTGGGAACACCATTATACATGAAATGTGAAAAGTCCTCATTGATCCCACATCTGCAAAAAAATTTAATCAAGGTCAAAGTTCCCAAATATGGATTTTTTGCATTTTTCAGACAAACGGTAAGTTTTATCATAAAAATAGGTCAGACAAAAATTGTTCTTACACTTTTTTCCTAAGAATCACCATTTCTGAGATTTTGCGGTTGAAAAAGTTGTGTTCTCCATAATATGCACACGTTTCCACGCCACCTGTGGGGTAGTGTACTTGGCGCGTTTTTTTAACATAGTTAAACGATCTCTTGTGGTCCTGTTTAATTAAATAATATTGTATTAATTAAAAAATGATACTATTGAAAATGATGAAAGCGGTGTGAACTATGAGTAAAACAACAATTTGAAAAACATGATTCAGTTGTGCTAAAGTTTTTAAAGAGAGTAACTACTCCACAAGCTGTAATCACCAACGGAATTCACTGCCTTCTTTCTGGAGCTCCAAAAAAAATTACCTGCTCAGATAAGTTTCGATACTGTGATATCTTTTGTAAAAAATACTCGTAACAATAAACGAGTGCAATTAGCTTGTCTTCCCCCAATATCTGCTTCTGCGCATGAACATCTATTTCGGGTGTGTCGCTTGGTAATCAACTGGACACAGAAGGCTGGGGTTGGAAGTTAATTGACAATACATTGGAACCAATCCAGATTTTACTTCCACCTGCACCAGAGAAACTCAATACAATTTTTTGCAAATGCAATAAGGGATGTAGTGATAAGTGCGGCCACAAAAAAGTTGGATTGTTTTGTTCATTAGCATGTACCAGTTGTCAAGACCAGTTGTTGTGCTCCAATGTTGAATCACCATCAGAAGGGGATTCTTACGATATCAGTGTGGAGACATCTGATGCATTGGTGTTATAACAATTTATTTGATCCAGCAGGAAGAAGAAGAATACATTACACTTGAAGTTCCTTTAGATAATTATCAGACGAATAGTTTTCCCCACAGACCACCTAGACTGGCCGTATCTAATTCTAATGCACGGGTACCAGTGAATGCAAAATACGGGGAAGTGGAGTGTGGAAGGCAATCTGATCGCGCGCATCTTTAAGCAGATCCGGATTAAGTAATATTATTATTACATATTAAATATTATATTGCATCTTATGACAAATATTCAATTTTAAGTTCGTAATTCAGAAAATAGTATATTTTAGTGTCATATTAAATAAAACTACAAAATAATTTAAATATATTTATTGTCCTCTAAATAATATTAATTTATTTAATATTTGCCTTTTCGTAGATTTTACGGAATTAAATAATTTGACCATGATTTAATCGTACATCGATATACTTTTCACATTCAGCCTTTATAAGTTCTATTAAATGATTACAATTGTTAGGCAAATTATCAAATTGATGTTCACTCAAATTTTCAAATATGTTCACATTCAGAAAGTTTTTTAATACATGATAAACAATTTTATTTTTCTGTAGCCTAGGTGTTCTGCTTTCATCATTATTTAATAATTTTATTAATTTTTATGTTTTCTTAGCATATTACTACGACATCTCGAGATGGATACGTCAAACAACCACGATCTTTAATAAAAATTAATTGACTGTACGAATACTGAATCTGAAATTAGTTTTGTTCGAGATTTTTTAATTGAAAAAAATATTTAATTAATTTTCAGCTATCTCGAAATGACGGGAATTGGTAAAATTTCTTAAAAATTTAAGACATAAAGTAAATAATTACTAAAAATATTTTACAGTAATTCATTCATTATTTTATAATAACAATATCACGTTAATCACTACACTATGTGGGCGAACAAAATTATAAAGCTAACCCTGGAGACTTGTGACGTTAACCGAAAAATGGCGTACATATTTACCTTTTATATATTCCTTTTTTTTTACTTACCTATAGAAGGAAACTTTTTGCCTCTCTTCACCAACTCGATCACTTCTATTTATACAATGTTTTACAATACACTTGTCCATGATAAAACATCTAATTATCGAAATTGCAGCAACGCGTACACGTCAAATGCTAGGACACGACTGAGCGCTGGGCTCCAAATCAGGCTCCAAAGTGTTTTCACCAAAGTCGCTCTATAAGCCAGTCTAGGTGGTCTGTGGTTTTCCCCAATTACTCATAATTCAAACCACTGATCATTTCCAATAGTACCATTTTTTATTTAATACATTATTTAATTAAACGGGACCACAATAGATCATGGAAACCACTTAAAAAAAACGCGCTAAGTACACTATTTCACAGGTGCGTGGAAACGTGTGAATATTATGGAGAACACAACTTTTTCAACTTTTTGAATCGCTCATCACAGAAATGGTGATTCTTAGGGAAAAAAGTGTAAGAGCAATTTTTATAGATAATTGCATGGTCTACAATTTTTGTCTGACCTATTTTTCTGATAAAATTTACCATTTGGCTGAAAAATGCAAAACCCATATTTGCAAACTTTGACCTTGAATAAACTTTTTGCAGATGTGAGATCGATGGGGACTCATCACATTTCATTTATAATGATGTTCCAAAACATTCGTACCAATTTTCAGCTTTATGCGAATTATTGCTTACCTTTATTTTTTGAGCTACTCTGATCGGTACAAAATTATGTGTGATAGAGCCATTAATTAGTAGGCTCTAACTTTTTTAATAACCTAAATTTTTTGATAATTTTTACTTTATTTTTTGCCTGGATTATCAAATGTCAGAAAGATATGTCATTAAATCGTAATTAGTTATTATTATATAGGGAAACGGTAAAAAAAAAATAGTAAATTAGGTAAAAAAAATGTTTAATAAAAACACTACATACTAAATTAATTTAAAATAATTCAAATAACAATAACATCTTTGCATACGCATACATGTTTGGTCCATAACAAATCTCTTTCTACTTCTTAAATAATAGTGTTCAGTATTCAGTACAAATTTGTTAACGTTGACGAATTTAGTAAAGTTCAGAGTAAAGTTTCAATAAAGTTTCTGATTAATTTTGACCTGAATACTAAACTTAGATAATAATGGTTGCTTAGACATTTTTTAATACCCTGTCTGATATAGGTAAGGTGATGAAAATTGTGCGTAATAACTCTTTTGAATATGTAGGGTCAGATAGTGAGAAGGATACAGAATTATAAAAATTATCAGTCAGTTTAGTAGAGAAGTTTAAAGTACAAGGTATTAGAAAGGCCCTATTTTTATATGTACAGTTAGGCCTTAATTGTATATACAGAGCTGGTTGGTTGGAAATGTCACATCAATTATTTAATTCTACTAGGCACTGATTTCGGAAATGAATATTTTCAATTAACGCGAAATGAGAAATGCATTCATTACATTTAAGTGTTTTTAACTTGCCATTAAATATGTTAGCTTTACATTAGATATATGTTACTGATATTCTGTTGTTGCATGTGAAAGGAAATATACATATTTGCAGTGTCAATAAGGGATTTCTAATCAACATTCTATAAATAACAGAACACATTATTCTAGTAACACTTAAAGTATATAACAAAACATAGATTTTCATTAGTTCTTTGCTCGCCGCTCATTGGTTCGGTTAAATATTCGACTCGTTAATAACAAAAACTTAACTGTTCGATTTAGCTTCTAAATTATTGAAACAAATGACTGTAATAGTGTAAAATGTTATGAAAAATATTTACGAAGGGAACTACAAATGAATATAGTAAAATGGGGACATCTAAAAACATAAGTACATACAAACAACACTAAATCTTATTTTCACCAGAACATAATTTAAAATTTCCACAATTCAGCAATTGACATAAACATTTACTATCAGCACAACCTGTATATCTTGCACAGCACATTTGGCAGTAGCCATATATCACTAATAGATCAATAGTATTGCAATAATAATTATACATTAACAATAACATAACAAGTTTTACTGTCGCCAACATGCCACTTGCTATCTTTTTGGCACTAATACGTTATTATAACTTAAATACACTGAAACTGCGATAGTTCCGTGGCATGGTGTGTTACAGTAAAGTAGTTTTATCTCAGGAAACATCGTGATGTTGATGCCTTGTCTTTTTATGTGTTCCAAAGGTAAACCAAGTTCCTACTTTTCTGCCTAGTGAATTATTGTTCTGGGAACTTGAGTTTAGCTGTAGAGTTGATCCCATATAACCTGAATCGTGTTTATAATTTTTGCCATCTGCAACAAAATAGTAAAGTAAAAAAGATTAAAATACTTCTATGAAAAACAAAATTATGACACAATTAAAAGGCGGTATTTCTGGTCCAGAATAAAATCAGAAACAAAATATGCTTTGATATGCACGCAACTAAATTTTTCATTAAAATTTTGCGCAATTTTTCTAATTCTCATAGCTCCGTCAATTTTCATCATATCAAGACGATTTTTTTTCATTTTATAAATAAAATCTATATTAAATGTATGCGAGTCGATACCACATTTCCATGACCTGATAAAGTCCAAGCATTTTTTTTCTAAAAAACTTTGATTGCTTGACACGTTATCTGAATTACCCAGATTTTTTCCAAAAATAACACATAAACCATAGAAAGTTGTACAATCAATTTAAAAAAAAATCAAGTACGATTTTTTTTGATCAAGTTATGCTTTTTTGAAGTTATTTGTATATTTTTAATGAATACTGTCAGCGTCAGCATTACCCGATACGTACCACGAGGAGGTTGCTATTCGGAATTTATGCATCATTTTGGCCCTGAAAGGGGCTGATTATGTAAATGTATCAATGTATCAACATAGGGATCCCGTGGTTTGACACTGCCACAGTATTTTCTGATTGCAAACTCTCGGAGGTTAGCAGGAAGCCTCTCCAAGTTATGTAATCTTCTACCCATCATGCCCATACATGCTCAATGGGATTGATGCTCTGGGTTGTTAGCTGGACGAGGCAGTAAATCTATATTGTTTATTTTCAAGTAGTCACAACATGGGGATATGCATTATCCTACATCAAACAAGGTCAGAAAATACTGTGGCAGTGACGGAGTCCCTAATTTGACACATGGTTTCATTAATTAGCTCTTTTCAGGGCCAAAATGATGTATAAAACCCAACCAGCATCCTCCTCGCGGTATGTATCACATAATGTTGATACTGGAGGTATTCATTAAAAATGTACGAGTAACTTCAAAATATACTCGGTAAAAAAAATCGTAGAGGCTTTACGATGTCTATGTGTTATCCAACTAACGCACCAAGCAATTAAATTAAAAAAAAAATCTAGTACTTTATCAGGACATGGAGATGCGGTATTGATTCGCATCCATTACTCATAGATTTCTTCTTAAAGTACAGATAATTACCTACAAAATGAAAAAAAAAAAATTGTCTTGATACAATGAAAATTGACGGAGCTATGCGCATTAGAAAAATAGCAAAATTTCATTGAAAAATTTCGGGTTTTATCATTTAATCATTGGAAGGAGAGGAGAGATTACTATAATCGAATAGGACAATTTCAATATGAGTATTATGATGCGAATTCATGAGAATATGAAACTATTTCCTAAAACTATTTGCTTTTCCAAAATTCCTCTTTGTGGTATCTTAAAGATATCATCGAAGAAATTGTTTTTACTTTTTAATTCACTTCAAAATTAATGCAACACTAAAAAAGGTAATTGGTAATTTGTTCAAAAACGATGGTACTACACTGAAATTCAAATAGACATATTCATTATTTCCAAGAAAAAAATTCTCTATTGTACCCTGTATATGCTAAAACAGAAACCCGAACTAAATAGTATTATGCAGTTTTCAGTTTACATAAGCCTAATCTCACACAGATATCAAAAACTTAAATGATATTTGTTTATCTAAGTGGAACTAGTTGAACTATGATTAGTTACAATTATGAATTTATCTGCTTAATAGTAGGGGAGGCCAAGAGGGGATTTTGGGAGTTACTCAAGCGCAGCAGATTAACATATGGGGGATACCTTGCACCCTGTTGAGTACCTCCACCATATCTAAGTCCTCTATATAAGGCCGCGCGTGTAGGGCAGCCAATCAGAATAGTAAAAAAAAATCGATAATTGGAAATACTTGAGCGCGTCAGATTAAGATATGATGGGTTAATTACATGCTGAAAAGTGTGCATTTCAATAATCTGATGATTTGAGCGTGATGTAAGGCAGTCGGAATGTCACAAAGTTGCAAAAAAAAAAACGTCACCTCGGCATTCTCGAGCGCGGTCGATTTTTTTTTATTTTGAAGGAAATAATTCGAGGATAACGGGAAAAATATAATCTGCCGATTTCCACAAGCTGAAGTAACAAAAACCGTTAATAAAGTTTAGCGCATGCAGCTGCAGGGAAATACATGTTGTTTTGAAACTCCGTCAGGAAATTCCGGGAGGTGATTCTATGGATTAAAATAATAGCAGTATGTAATGAAAATTTTTTTCGAATTGTCAATTGTTTGTAAGTTACAGCTTGTCGAAGTTCATTTTTTTATTTTTTTATTTAAATAACTTATCTTAGTCTCTCATTTGGCACACCCACTAAGTAGATGAAGCTCTATTGGACCAGTCAGAGAAAAGTTTCAATATGCGCCCCTAGAGGGCACTTTACCTAGAACTCAAAATTTGTTTGGTTCTTAATTTTTTTCTCTTGCTAGACATCACAGAAATTTAAACATTATTGAAAAGAGAAACAATATCAGAAAAAAATATGTACTCTTTGTTCAAGCCAATAAATGTAACCGTTTACCAGGAAATCGCTATTAATGTGTTATTAATCATCAAATTTTTGATCATTCTTTCTGTAATTATGAACAGGGTGTCCCGAAATTAATGCAACAAAACTTGGTCATAGATTCTTAAGACAAATTTAGGGGACCCATATTTTTTATTTTTGCTAATAAAACGATAAAAAACTAAAAATATCGTTTTTTTATTAAATTCTGTATAGGACTTATATGTTGTTTAACTTATGTGTTATGACAGCAGAAATGGTTCTACAGTTCAGAGTATAATTTGTGCGAATGTATGTAGAAATGTTGTATAATTTTATGTTCTGTGTGATTTTTGTTAAAATTGTTTTAATTGTTTTAGGATTTATACATTGTACCTTTTTTT